ATCTGTCATCTCATATCCAACGCGCGCTCGTAGAATAATTGTTAAATATATATATAACTCCACTATTATTCCATTTTATTATTCTATTTTAACTATTAATATTATTTCTATTTTATTATTTCTATTTTATGCTCAAACCACCTACTTAAAAGGATCGTTAGTCAACTAGCATCTTATCCACCTGACGAGAGAGGACTTGTAACCCTTTCGAAACAGATCTGTAGTGCGAAGTTTTAAATTTTATTTTCCTAAATAATTGTATATATATATATATATAACTCCACTATTATTCCATTTTATTATTCTATTTTAACTATTAATATTATTTCTATTTTATTATTTCTATTTTATGCTCAAACCACCTACTTAAAAGGATCGTTAGTCAACTAGCATCTTATCCACCTGACGAGAGAGGACTTGTAACCCTTTCGAAACAGATCTGTAGTGCGAAGTTTTAAATTTTATTTTCCTAAATAATTGTATATATATATATATATAACTCCACTATTATTCCATTTTATTATTCTATTTTAACTATTAATATTATTTCTATTTTATTATTTCTATTTTATGCTCAAACCACCTACTTAAAAGGATCGTTAGTCAACTAGCATCTTATCCACCTGACGAGAGAGGACTTGTAACCCTTTCGAAACAGATCTGTAGTGCGAAGTTTTAAATTTTATTTTCCTAAATAATTGTATATATATATATATATAACTCCACTATTATTCCATTTTATTATTCTATTTTAACTAGAGAGATTCTTGTTCCAAGTAAAGCGTCTTACTATTCTCACATACAAAATGATTGCTCGATTATCTGCAAATATCTGAATCACAAGTTTCTTTCCACAAGCCTGGTGATTGATTTAAGAATCCTCAGCCTATTGCTTTAACTAGAGTCTAATGTTTAGTGCGTTTTTTATTTCACAGTGATGGCGCCTTCTCAAGAGTCAGAGGATGATCTTGATTACAAGGCAGAGTCTGGTTACGTGTTAGTGATAAACAACTTCATCTTCCCTAAAAGGTCGGACGTTGCACGCGTTGGATCAGCGGAAGACGTTAAAAATCTCCGTAGTCTCTTTGATGATTTCAACTTCAAAACCCGAATTGAAGAGAACTTGACTCAAAGTCAAATGGTGGAAACACTCAGTGAAACTGCAGAGAAAGACTTGAACAGATATGATTGTTTTGTTTGCGTAATCCTTACCCATGGTTCCAAAGATGGTGTTTATGGCACTGATGATGCGGTCATTAGAATTGAAGCAATCACTTCCTATTTTCGGCGAGACGCATGTCCATCTCTCGAGGGGAAACCAAAGATATTTCTGATCCAAGCTTGCCGTGGCAGTCAACAGGATAGGGTACCTATTGAGAGCGACAGCTTCCCCGTTCCATGTGCAAGCTCTTCTCTGCCAGCTGATGCCGATTTTCTGATCTGCTTTTCCTCTGCCCCTGGTCATGAAAGCTACAGGCACCCAGAACATGGTACCTGGTTCATTTCAACGGTTGTGGAAACTTTCAAAAAGTATGCAGAAAGAGAGGATCTCTTGAAGATGATGTTGAGAGTCAACTACAGTGTTGCAAATTATTTCAGCAAATCAGGCCTCAAGCAAATTCCTTGCCAAGTCTCCATGCTGAGAAGGAAAGTGTATTTTAATCCAAAATATAAGCCATCATTAGCAACCAATGAAGGTTTCGCTGATTAGATGATTTTACATGAAACATTGAACACCTGACAGGAGCTCAGGCGAAACATTTGTGGGAGGTTATGTTTAATAACATATCGTTAGTTTTTCAACGCGTAGTTCGTGTACTTTTCATTTATGTTTTGTTCTGGTCAATTTTTAACCAATTGATCCTTCGTTAGTTGATGATTACTACTGAATGATTTCGTTATTTCAATCGGTTCAGATTTTATTTCAAGTTATTATCTGCTATCAAGTTATTATTCGCTATCAACTTATTATTTGCCATCGTAAGGAGCTAGACCAGAGTAAGTTTTTCTTTATTTTACGTTTACGATGTTTTCCTTTTATCTGTGTTTTTCTTCACTTCTTGCACTCACTTCTGTTTATAATCACTTCAATGTGAGTTAAGTCAGTGTTTCATTTCCCAGGGTATTTTTCTCAGTTTAGTTCCTCTTGAATTTTTTTTTTTTCTAGTTCGAACCACAAATTCAGCCACACAAATTCAGAGACACAAATTCAGCTACAACCTTCAAACATAACCTCGCAACTTCAATCGAAACTTCACCCTTTTCATCCGTTTAATGCAACGCAATTTCGCACCGATTTCACTATTCCAATTTATAATTTTGATTACCAACTGTTTTTAATTAAACCTTGATTTCTACTGTGCGTGTTAATTGTCTACTCCGCTCCGCTAGTAACCTTTGGAGGTTACGCATACGAGAATTCAAAGTAACTCTTCTTGTTGTATATTTAAGGGAAACCTTTCAAAAATGATTTCACAAATGAAAATATACTTGTGAACATGCACGGATTAACAGCTAACAAAGCTTTCAAAATGCACTTCAAGTTGTTTGGACAGGTAGTAATTTAAATTTAAATTACTAGTAATTTAAATTTAATTAAAAAAAAAACCATTCGAATTGTGCATAGTATTATGTTAAAAAAATTGAGGATCTATTATACATGGTTAAATATATCATGGTTTGTGATAACTATACGAGTAATCAATACCTGTTCTTCACTAAAATTAAATACAAATAAATTGCTTAAAAAAATTGTTCCACAATTTTCTGCTACACACGTTTCCAGGTATACGCTAAGATCGCTAACGCAGTATAAAAAGTGGCAAAATATTTGATCTCCTGATCTTTTCATAAATCCCTGTGTCAGCATCGCGAAATAATAGGTTGTAAAAATTTTTTTAAACAACTCCAGCCTGTGTTCGAGATCATACTAAAACTGGTAACGAGGAACGGGGAATGGGTGTGCAGCGATAACCCGCCTGAGAATTCAAAATGGCGGAGTAAAGGGGACTAAAAGGGTTTGGCAACTAGTTTTGAGCACGTGCTCTTTGAATGCGATCGGCGGAGCAAAAAGCATGGACCGTAAGGGAGTGCCTCATAAATTTAGTTTTTGTCTGGCACACATTGCAGGTTGCATAGAAATAAAATCCTTGGAGAGGTGAGTATCTTACAATTCATGCACAACATTTGAACAATCAACTCAGAACTACAAGCTCGCGGCATTTATTCTTATATTTATAGAGTAATTGTACTGCAAGGTAATGAAGTTTACCTTCAATATCTTCACCGTTACAACCTAGCAACCTCGTTGTACTATATTTTTTGTACAACTACACGTCCTGTTCTGGAATACTGCGCGCAAATATTCCATCATGCGTTACCTGCGTTTCTTAGTGATGACATTGAAAGGGTCCAAAGACGCGCATTATCCATCATTTTACCAGAACTGTCATACCATGACTCTTTAGAAAGGCACGGTTTAGCTTTGCTCTATGACAGACGCATAAAATTATGTACAGATCTGTTTTTGTCTGTCTCAAATCCATCTCACAAATTATATAATTTGCTGCCAGATAGGCATTTTTCAGCTTACAATACTAGACACCGGCGCGTTTTTAACATGCC